GGTAAGGGAATTTTTGTGGTTAAAGCAAAACTAATTTTCTGCTGTGCCTTTAGTATGTGTCTGATGCTGGTCTTTATTTTTGTAAGGAAATGTTCTCTTGGTATCCAGATCAAATCAACCAGATAAATTTCAGGTCATCCAGCTGCTTTTGATATTTTGTTCATCTTGATATGGGATATGCCTCTGTGCTTTCAGTGTAAATAGTTGTGGTGGTAATCACACTTTGGAAGAAAGTGGAGCCTGAGTGATCTTGTTAGTTGACGCTGTCATGATAATTCAGGGAGGAGTATCATGGGAGATGAGACAGAGAGGCTGTACTTTTCCTCGTGAGTGGGAGTGTATCTATGGTTTCTCAGGGGAATTCACGATCTGCGGACATTTATGATCTTTCAGCTATAGTTAGACAATTACATAGGCAAAAGGATAAGACAAACTCTTTTTTTATTTTTCCCTCCACCTTTTCACTCCAAAATGATAGTGGTGACTTTCTGTTTACTCTAATTCCGATTTTGCAACTTTGAGATTTCACTGCTGCAGTATTTTCTACAACTGCACTTTAGATCTATACAAAGCAAAAGTGATTCAGAAGCTCTCAGCAGGCTTATTAACCACTTTGTCTGTGAGGACTGAACCTGCACTGGGTAGCTGTTAGCCTTCAGAGGAAGCTGCTCTTGACCTAAAAACCTCAAGCTGTTTGTCTGCACTTTGAAGAATTTTTTGACATACTGTCGTATCTGTGGTTGGTGAAGTTGACTGAGGTGCCAGGCCATGAGCCTGTAAAGGGAGAGGACTGTTGGCAGGACCTTTTCTATGAAAGGGTCCTTTTTCTTTCCATACTCTGACCTCTGGGACCCAGAGCTCTGAGGAAGAAGCAGCTTGAGAAGTGGTATTGGCAACTGAGTACTGGCTGGATGTGACTTTTGCCTACAGTAAACTCTGATATTTCCAGTGTTAGTTTGAGAGGAAGCTGCTTCCATTTCTCTTTTGGTTTATATGGCTCACCTACTTGCTGCCATTTAAAAAAGAGAGGGCTGACTTAGACTGGTCATCTAATTGCTTCATAATTAATAAGAGAGAAAGACTGATGGTGGCTCGTCCACCTATTCTCAACATTTATTGAAGATCAGATGGATGTTTAAGATAGGTGAGCTGAATTGCTGTCTATCCCTCAGTCTGTTGACTGTAGAGGGAGCCTTAATAACAAACCTAGCTCACATACCTATTGGTTAGATAGCTAAAATTAAGTGAAGTAAATCTCACCTGTCACCTCTTGGTGCTTGTCTTTATGTCAAATGAAAGATACAAAGAGTTTAGGACCATCATTAGTAGTGGATTTTCATATGGATTATTACATAAGAGCATACTTGATGTTTTTTTCTATAAGCAGACCTGATTTAAACCCTTTCTTCCCATCTTTGCAGCCTCACCCTTTAAGCCACCTCGAAATCTGAGAACTTCTGATTCAACTATGTCAAGCTTCCGAGTAACATGGGAGCCAGCTCCAGGGCGAGTGAAGGGGTACAAAGTAACTTTCCACCCTACAGAAGACAACAGGAGTCTTGGAGAATTAATAGTGGGGCCATATGACAGCACAGTTGTATTGGAGGAGCTCAGGTATGGATAATAATCAATGTCTTTTTTTTTTTTCATAACTTTATCTTAGAGTTTTGTTTAATCATGGTCTGAGATTGAAACACCTGGCAAAGGTAAGAAAGAAAGTAATTTTGTCAATAAACTATGAGGATCTTGTTATGCAGTGTCTGAAAAGCACCTGGCAGGGCTCTTTCTGAGATTATTCATTCATGTCACTTGTGTTCTTGCAGGAACTAAAATTCCTGCAGAGCCTGTATTCTGAATTTTGCATAGGAGAAAGCTAATGTGATACTGAAAAAAGTTGGGATCTCTAAAGTTTTCTCCCGAAAGATCCTTACCTCATGTTTGTTAAAAAAAAAAAGCTTAGTTTAGTTCTTGATCCATTTTCTCAGGTAAGTCAGGCCTGGGTTTATAAAATCGGCTTCAGACCATGCCAAAATCTGTTATGCAAATATACTAAATATATTAGAAATTGGATCATTAAAAGTCTTCTTTTTATAGAATGGTTTGGGTTGGAAGGGACCTTAAAGACCATGTAGTTCCAAGCCCTCTGCCATAGGCAGGGGCACCTTCCACTAGAGCAGGTTGCTCAAAGCCCCATCCAACCTGGCCTGGACGCTGCCACGGATGGGGCAGCCCCCGCTTCTCTGGGCAACCTATGCCTGTGCCTCACCACCCTCAGAGTGAAGAGTTTCTTCCTTGTATCTAATATAAATCTACCCTTTTTCAGTTTAAAGCCATTCCCCCTTGTCCTATCACTACATGCCCTTGTAAAAAGTCCCTCTCCAGCTTTCTTGTAGCCCCTGTTTAAGTACTGGAAGGCTTCTATAAGGTCTCCCCAGGGACTTCTCTAGGCAGAACACCACCAACTCTCTAAGCCTGTCTTCATAGGAGAGGTGCTTCAGCCCTCTGATCGTCTTTGTGTCCCTCCTCTGGACTTGCTCCAAAAAGTCTATGTCCTCCTGGTGCTGGGAGCCCCAGAGCTGAATACAGTACTCCAGGTGGGGTCTCACAAGAGCAGAGCAGAGGGGGAAAATCACCTTCCTCAACCTGCTGGTCATGTTTCTTTTGATGCAACCCAGAATACAGTCAGCTTTCTGGGCTGCAAACGCACACTACTGGCTTATGTTGAACCTGTCAAACAACATTCCCAAGTCTTTCTCTTCAGGGCTGCTCTCAGTCCAGTCTCTGCCCAGCCTGTATCTGTGCTTGGGATTGCCCTGACCCAGGTGCAGGATGTTGTACTTGGCCTGGTTGAACTTCATGAGGTTTACACAGGCACACCTCTCAAGCCTGTCAAGGTCCCTCTGGATGACATCCCTTTCCTCCAGTATATCAATTGCACCATGCAGCCTGGTGTTGTCAGAAAACTTACTGAGGGTGCACTCAATCCCACTGTTCATGTTGCTGACAAAGATGTTAAACAGTGCCAGTCCACATACTGACCTTTGAGGAACACCACTCATCACTGGTTTCCACTTGGATATTGAGCCATTGACTTCAACTCTCTGTGTGCAACCATCCAGCTAATTCCTTATCCATTGACTGGTCTATCCATCAGATCCATGCCTCTCCAGTTTAGAGACAAGGCTGTCTCTGACAAGGGTGTCCCTGCCCATGGCAGGGGGGTTGGAACTAGGTGATCTTAAGGTCCTTTCCAACCCAAACCATTCTATGATTCTATGTCATGCGGGACAGTGCCAGATGCTTTGCACAAGTCCAGGTAGATGATGTCACTTGCTTTTCTCTTATCCATCAATGCTGTAACCCAGTTGTAGAAGGCCACCGTATTTGTCAGGCATGATTTGCCCTTAGTGAAACCATGTTGGCTGTCACCATTCACCTCTTTATTTTTGTCCTGGATTCAGCTACAGCAGTCATTTTTTCTCCTTCTCAGTAGCTGGTGCAGTGCTGTGTTTTTGACTTTCCGTCTGGGAACAATGCTGATGACACCGATGTTTTTAGTTGTTGCTAAGTAATGTTTACTCTGACCAAGGACTTTCTCAGTCTCATGCTTTGCCAGAGAGGAGGGGAAGCCAGGAGGAAGCAGAGACAGGACACCTGACTCAAACTGACCAAAGGGGTATTCCATACCACAGCACGTCATGCCCAGTATAGAAACTGGGGGGAGTTACCCGGAAGGCCCAGATCACTGCTCGGGTCGGGTTGGGTATCAGTCAGCGGGTGGTGAGCGGTTGTGTCCTTTTCCCTTGTTATTCCTCTTATCATTACTATTGGTAGCAGTAGTGGTTTGTATTATACCTTAGTTACTGGAGAGCTGTTATCTCAACCCGTGGGAGTTACATTCCTTCGATTCTCCTCCCCATCCCTCTGGGAGCGGGGGGAGGAAGGAAAAGGGGGGGGAGTGAGCGAGCGGCTGCGTGGTTCCAAGTTGCCGGCTGGGCTTAAACCACGACAATTTTCCATGTGCCACAGCATTGTTTCCAGGAGGATCTGCTCCGTGATCTTGCTGGGCACTGAGGTGACACTGACTGGCCTGTAGTTCTTCATGTCTTACTTTTTTTCAAATGGCGGTTATTTTTCCCCTTTACCAGTCAGTGGAAATTTTACTGGCCTACCATGACTTCTCAAATATGATGAGTAGTGGCTTGGCCACTTCATCTGCTTGTTCCCTCGGGACCTGCAAAAGCATCTTATCAGGTCCCATGGACTTGTGCACCTTTAAGTTCCTTAGATGGTCTCAGGCGGTTCTTCATTCTCCTAGTCCTTGCCTTTGCCTTCTGTGACTTGGGCAGTGTTGCTGGAGCACTGGTGAAGACAGACAAAAATTTAGTTGAGTACCTCAGACTTCTCCATGTCCCTGGTAACCAGATCTCCTGTTTCCTTCTGGAGAGCACCGACATTTTTCCTAGCATTTTTTTCTTTTATCACTGATGTACCTATAGAAGCTTTCCTTGTTGCCTTTAATGTCTCTTGCCAGATGTAATTCTATCAGGACTTCAGCTTTCCTAACCTGATCCTGGCTACTAGGAAAATTTCTCTGTATTCCTCCCAGGCTACCATTTTCACCCTCTGTAGGCATCCTTTTTGTATTTGAGTTTGTCCAGGAGCTCCTTCATATCTATGCTCCAGATTGTTTTGCCTGATGCATCGCTCCTGAGCTTTAAGTCTTAAATTACTTGAAAGATGAAGGCTATGAATTTAAGTATAGTATCTAGAATCAGCTTTTATATTGTCAAAACTTCACTCTTTTGTGGAAAAGGTAGTCTTTGGGCTTTACATTTTAGCACCTTCTTTTCCATGGGCGATTTTTTTCTGTGAGAATTTCAGAAGTGAAGTGTCAGCGTTTAGCTAGCCAAGTCATTTTAGTTACGGTACATTTGTCTAACTGTTGCAGGGCAGGAACTACCTATAAGGTAAATGTTTTCGGAATGTTTGAAGGAGGAGAGAGCAGCCCCCTGGTTGGACAAGAGATGACCACCCTTTCAGATACTACTTCGGAGCCATTTTTATCTAGAGGTAAACATGATTGAAGAAAGCACAGTCTTGGCTTCTGGATAAAAAAAGACCAGAAGTTAACCAGCATTTCTTTATCATATTTCTAATGTACATAAATATTTATTTACAGGATTCAGTGTACTCCCTACCTTGATGACATAACCCCTGGTCTAAAATGACCACTAGTTCATGATTTTAGTCCTTTGCACCCTTTGGATGGTCTTACAGAGATGATAACTCAGACAATCCATGTTTTGCTGATTACTCAAAGCCATCTGCATTGCATTTTCAAGCCATACACATCTGTGTTAAATCACATAAGGTCAAATTCTTGAACAGAGATCATGGCTCATCTGCAGGGGTGTTCAGAGGAGTAGAAGAAGGAATTTTAAGCAGATATTTAGCGTTTGCTTGTCCTTATATGGTGACTCTTCCTATAAGACTAAGAAGATATGAACAAAGATCTGATAGTTGGCAATATCCCAGTATTATTGTGTATTATTTAAGTTTATATTCAAGATAACCATCAGTAATTCGTTTGTGATTTTTTTTTTTTACTATAGCAGGAGGAGGTTTAGTTCAGAAATACAATTGCTGAGTGATCCCCAGTATCTGTTTGAGAGTTTTTCCCTGTGTAGCTAAATCTTCCAGTCATAATTTTGATAGCAGCTGTCTTGGAGTGGTTAATGGGCCTCTGCATACTAATAGTTGTGCCCACCATACTCTCAATTAATAGTGGTTGAGGAGAGTTTCAGGGTTCAGTTGTCCTTCACGAAAAGCATAAAGAAGCAGGTCTTTGCTTCTCAATAGCCAAGTATACATGCAGAAATAAAGACTTCTCTGCCCTTTCAAGGTTTGCATAACCATCAGAGAGAACTTGGTGAGGAGAAGTAACCTAACTATAAAGGCCTTTCAAAGTTAAGTAAAGAAAAAATGTGTCTGACAGTTTCCTCTATGTTCTTTTTGCTTAGCCTCTCTGATACCTGATTTCCACAGGGCTGTGTAAAAAACACCTCATGTAATGTTATTAACAAAATTTTTAGGAACTTTTTATTTAATTACTGTCCTGTTCTGTCTAAAACAAGAGGGTAAAATTGAGAAAAACTACATAACAGGCCATCAGTGACATTACAGTAAAGTTGTAATACATCTGGAAGAAAAGTAATTGCACCTAGAGTGGTTTGTTAGTTTTTATTATGACAGCTATCATATCTGTCTTCAGTGATATAGTCTTTAAGCTAATTATGTTTACTAATGCATGGATTTGAGTCATGGTTAATGTGAAAAGTGAATTTTATATCTGAGCCTGTAAATGTAATAGCACATTATTTATTAATAGAGGAAAAAAATCACTCTAGATCTGGTGCCTTTGCTAGAATTTTCCATGTGGGGAACTATGGTAGTTGGAATTAAAATAAAAGTCAAAATAGTTTAACTTTTATATTGTACATGAAACTAACTGTAACTTCTATATTAAAGTTATGCATGCAAGTTTTTGAACTAACATAGTTTTGCTTAAACCCTTCTCCTAACTGAATTTATTGTCCTGACTAAAGACTAGATCTATATTTTCTGTGCAGAAGAGGATCATACTTTTAACCCCCAGGTACATGGAATAGTTATATTCATGAGTCTACAGTGTTGGATCACTTATGTGGAACATATATGAAATCACAATATCTTTCAACTGTGATGAGTGTGGCTGATTTTTCTCGATGGGATTTCTTCCATATAAAGACCAGAAGCTCTGATGGCAGGAAGCCAGAAAATTTGCAGCTGGTAACACAATCTACAGGAAAAGAGAGAGAGCAAGAATTATTATTTTTTTTTTTTTTTTTTTTGTGTATGACTGTGGATAAAATCATTGTCTCTTTCTGTTTTGTATAAAATTTTTGTGATTTTCCTTGTGATGAAAATGATATGATGTGTATTTTATTCTGTAAGTTGTAAACTGAAGATATCTGGAACAACTTCCTACCTTTTCAGAACATTGCAGCTTTATATAAATGTTTGTTCTTGTCCCCTCTCTATCTCTTGACCTGTGTTCGTGTCTGTGTATCTTGCCTAACTTGTGTTCTTTCTTTCCAGTATATGCAAACTTCTATACCTCTTGTATTACCATGTCTTTTTCCCCTGAAAATTCAGAAATGCTATTTATTTGAAAGTGGTTGTAATATATGGTATTAAATTGTGTATTGCATAGTTGAAAGTTTAGCTATCCATGAAGACTAAAGTACTGTAAATTTGGATAATGTGATAATGGCCACTGCCATAGCAGTAGTTAATTCAGTAACCTTTTACAAAACCTCTGAAATCAAGTTATCAACCATCTTTAATGACCAAAACAGATAATAGCAGGACAAAAGAGAAGAGGACTGGCCTTAACATTTGCAAAGGTTTATTTATAAAAGGAAACATACATGAAGAAATTTATACAGCTTTTGCCATGGAACCAGTGACTAGTGTGAATAACATTCACAAATAGGTCATACTTGACAGAGTGCCAGTGAATAAAACTAGAGCTACTTCGGAAGCTAACTCGTGACATACGTCATATAAAAGGATGAAGAAAGAAAGTTATCTTGCTAAACCTGTATTTTTCTGGTTGAAAGCTATCATGCTAAGGTTATATTTTTCTGGTTGACATGGCAGGTTTAGAATGTAGAACCAGAGCAGAAGCTGATATTGTGCTGCTGGTGGATGGCTCATGGAGTATTGGACGGCCAAATTTTAAAACTATCAGGAACTTCATTGCTCGTATTGTTGAAGTTTTTGATATTGGTCCTGACAAAGTACAGATTGGTAAGTCCTCATATGTTGGAGGGAAAATGAGGTGTAACTGCTACGCAGCCACATAACTGAGTGATAATGGCTTTTTTACCAGGTCTTGCACAGTATAGTGGAGATCCCAGAACAGAATGGAATCTCAATGCTTACCGAACCAAACAGGCTTTGTTAGAGGCTGTAGCCAACTTACCATACAAAGGAGGCAATACTCTAACAGGTATGTCATACTGCTAGGATTTTCCTTAAGCTCCAACAAAAATAATTATAGTAGATGACCCTAGTATTGTCCAGTGAGTTCAAATTTGTCCATGATGAAACGGCCTTACAGTTCAGTATGTTTGGAAGAGAACAGGCATAGCATAGACATATAAGCTCAGTGCAAGTCTGGAGAAATGTAATTGAGGACAGCTTGGGTGATGAAGAGCTTGGATTGATGTTGAGCATATGAGAAGAAGAAAAGGAAGTTCCATGTCAGGGTTGGGATGAAGACAAGGTGAGGACCTAGAAGGGAGGCTAGAGGAGATCAGGTAGGAGGGTGATGCATAAAAAGTAAGAGATTAGAGACTCTGACATGACTGAAATAGTATAGGTTGCTGATAAGTCTAGGTGATAGGTTGCAACTAGATTCCAAGTCCTATTAGAATGAAGTAAATTGTGTAATGATGATGTCAGAGTGAAATCACTAGGACCAAATACTCTCCTTTACCATGACTAGCATATGGAAATAATTTATAGTGATGGCTACATTCTTTGTATCATGCTAGGAATGGCCTTGGATTTCATCTTAAAAAACAACTTCAAACAAGACGCAGGCTTAAGGCCCAGAGCTCGCAAAATCGGTGTTCTCATCACTGATGGCAAATCACAAGATGATGTAGTCACCCCTTCAAGGAGACTCAGAGATGAAGGGGTGGAACTTTATGCAATTGGTAAGTATTATAGGAAGAGGTGGCCTGCACCAGACCCCTCCTGCCCATCTGCTAAATGCACAGAGAAGTGGCTACATACATAAGTACCTAAAAAGGTATTCAAAGAATGTGTTTAGGGGCTTACATTCATAGCATTATGCTTCATGGCCACAATTTATAACAAATTTTGTTTTCATGTCTTCTCTGTAAGGTATTAAAAATGCAGATGAAAATGAACTGAAGCAGATTGCAACGGATCCAGATGATATCCATGCTTACAATGTTGCAGATTTCTCCTTCCTGGCTAACATTGTTGATGATGTAACCACAAATCTGTGTAATAGTGTGAAAGGTCCAGGTACATCACTTTTTCAGTCTAATTCATCCTTTTTCCATTTATGTGCTTGCACTGCAAATTCCTTTTTATTACTTACTGGGAACACTGTGTAGCCTTGGGCTGTTTTTTCAGCTGCTGGTGTGAGGAAGTTAGGCAGACCACCTGGACTACCCTGCAGGGGTTCTTTCTTTCATTTCAACAATGACTGTATTATACCTAACACAGCATGACATGGCTGGACGTGCCTTCTTTTCTCCCAGAGTCAGGAAGTATGTTTCTCAGTGTGTCACCTTTTTGCTCATTGTGTCAGGTTCTTTGATGATACTTCTCTAGTAATGAAAATTTCAGCAGCCCTGCTCTTTTTTAGTATTAATGTCTGACAACCCAATATTAAAGCTAAGCATAGAAAAACAGAAATGCTAGTTGATGGTTCTCCAGTGAAACACTGGTGTTGAAAATGGAGTAGGAGTGATAGGGAGCTTATTTGTTCTTGAATGTGATGGTGAGCTATCTCTTCTTGCAGTTGTTTTAAGAATTCCTGAGGATACAGAAACATAAGCAAGTCCCTAAAGAGTTTTTTTTCCCTAAGCACTTTTTTTGCCTCATGTTTTTATTCCTGATGATATAAGATAAATGAATAATTTTTAAATTTGCTTCCACTTGTAGGTGATTTGCCACCTCCCTCTAACATAGTTATTTCAGAAGTGACACCTCGTTCTTTCAGACTGAGATGGAGCCCACCTCCTGAGAGTGTTGACAGATATAGAGTTGAATATTACCCTACCTCTGGAGGTAGCCCTCAGCGGGTTAGTACTGTATGTTAATCTCTGACATTGCCCATGATAACCTTGGACCTTCACAATACAGTAGTGACATTCTGAAGTTTGTGCTGTGTATGGTGTAACAGCAAATGAAAGAAGGATCCCAAGGTCAAGAATATCAAGACTGATAAATGATATTCAAACTTACAAAAAGTGGGAGCATAAAGATTACTTTGATTGTTTTAAAATCATGAGTTCAGGAGAAAGATGTATTTCTTAAAAACAGTTGACAGGTATTTCTAGCAATTCCTTTCTATTCATATTCCACTGTCATATATTGGTTTGAATAAGCCAGTAACAGAAATTTTCTGAGCAAACTCATGTGTAGGCTTACTGTCATTTTAGTACATTTTCTTGTTAGTAGAAAAAAAAAAAAAGACAGTGAGTGATACAGTAAGCTAGTGCTTTGATTAATATTGTATGATGGTACTTGGAATCTGTGCCTAAGCATATCTTCCAAACTGTTTAATGCACAGGATCAAACTCATCTTGTGGTTATTACTTCTCTATACAGAGAGCCAGTAACCAGCAGCCCTGGTTCAGGCAATCTGAACTGCTCATCACTCACTTTAACCAGACAGAAGAGTGTTTAGAAGAATGAAGTTAGGTGCCTCTGTGTACCTAACTCTGAATTTCCAGTCTCTGATGTGGATTTTAAATCATAACTCAGATTTGACTCAGGAAGAATTTAGTCTTAGTAAATTATGACCTCAGGATTTGGGCTTTGATTAAGGTTGGAGCAGTCATTCCACTGCACAATGACTTTACAGTTTGCTGGCTTTTATGTTCTGCAAGGTGTTGCTAATGCCATGTGCTGTAACCATCTAGATTATCCTGGAGGTTTAAAACTTCTTTCCAAAGATGTAACATGTATCCCTGGCACTTTATTTATGTTGCTGGGTAATATAAAAGTGTAAACCATGTGTGAAAGTAGGATGCGTAGTGAGTGCTGCTAGCTATATCCAGCTCTGTTGAGAACAAGTGTTTGTCTGCCAAAATACATAGATTAAGACCATACTTATTTTTAGCTCCATACCAATGATTTCTGAAGAGTTTCACAAAGATTTTTTTTTTCTCTTATCTTAGAGATAAAATTACAAGTTCATTTGTTGTACAGTGGTTAACATTGCTTCTCTTTGATGTAGTTTTATGTAAGTAGGATGGAAACCACGACAGTTCTGAAAGATCTGAAACCTGAAACAAAATATGTTGTTAACGTGTTTTCTGTGGTAGAAGATGAAAGCAGTGAACCTCTAATCGGCAGCGAAACAACTTGTAAGTTAGAAATGGAACTTGTATAACATGTTAACAGCCACCTTAGCATCTGGGGACCTGTCCAGTAGAACTGTGGGCTTTCTTCTTAGAGGAAACAAAATTTTTAATTTGAATGACCAAATTGTGTTGTGTTACACTGGTTGTTCAGATCTTGGCTGGAAAACTTTAGCAAAGTGAAACTGCAGTGTAGTAAAACACATATGTCCCAGCTTCTTTCCAGGCTCATAAAGCACTACTGTACATGATTAGAGCAGCAGACATGAAATCTGATCATATACAAATGTGTACTCCTTCATTTTTATGCTAGATAATTAATTCCTGCTACTAGTTGCTAGAATACTCTAAAATTCATTCTAATTTTATAAAATAAACAAAAAGGCAATTAAACATAATTATGTCACTTCTACAAGACAGAGCTTAGCCATGTTTCTGTTAGCTGTCTACATGATTGAATTTAGGTATATTTATGCTGAATGCAACATAGGGTGACTTTTCTGCCTCTTTAAGAATATTGACTGTTTTGTGTTCATTTTACTTCTTTGAATGTTTTGTATGAGGCTTGTCATAAACCCTTAAAGTATGATTTTTATGAATTCTGTCGCAGATCCCAAAACAGTCATGTTGTTTCATATTAGAGCATTCATATGAGTTAATACTGCTTTTTAGAATATTCAAGTGTTCCAGTGTAGACTTGTAAGATAGTTTTAACTGTGTGTTTAGCAAACCTGTGACACATTCAAAATACGATGACCATTACCTCATTCTTAAACTAAGCACCACTTAAAATACCACTACTTGCAGATCACCTTCTGTTACCCATAAAGTACCCTAATATCCATGTGCAATATTTTTAGTGGTACTTTCTGTGATGCGGAATATGAAAAGTGAAAAAAGTGAAGGAAATAAATGAATATATATGTTTTATTTGACAGTGCCAATCTCTTCAGTTAGAAACTTGAATGTTTATGACATTGGATCAACTTCCATGCGAGTAAGGTGGGAACCTCTCAATGGGGCTACTGGTTATTTGTTAACGTATGAACCTGTGAATGCCACAGTCCCAACCACAGAAAAAGAGGTGAGAGAATTTGTCATTACTTCCTGTACTCTACCAAAAAAAAAATAAATTAAGAAAACCTGATAGATTTTCTTGATCTACCATTGTAGTCAAGAGACTGGCATGTACTTCTTGAAGCACAGTGAACTGAGTGGGATATTGTATACAATGACATCAGTCAGGAAGCTGTAAATATACTGTGAAACTCACAAACAAAATTCCCGTGCAGTTAAATCATTGCTTGCATTTCTGCCATTGCTTTCTTCAGTTTTTAAACATGGTGTGTTACTTTTCATGTGCAGATGCGTGTTGGGCCATCAGTCAATGAGGTGCAGCTGGTAGATCTCATCCCAAATACTGAGTACACTTTGACAGCTTATGTATTGTTTGGTGATATGACCAGTGACCCACTCACCACCCAGGAAGTGACATGTATGGGCATCTTGATTTTTGCTTTGTTAATGCTTCAGCAACATTTAATTTTGATTTTATTTCATGCAACAGTTTTTATGTATTCTGTTTTGTTTAGAAGATCATCTTTTGCATGTTTCATGCATTTTCTAATACTCATACATTTCTAAAAGATCTTCAAGTCAATTTCAATTAAAAGGGACCAACTATTAAAAGAGGAACAAAAGAGTTTTCTCCTTGAATATTGAAGGAATTTGGCTTGCAAATCTTGAGGTTATAGCATTTTTAAAGATCTCAGTTTTACTTGCATTAACTTAAAAGCCTTATTTCCAAGTTCAGATGTTCTTTTAAGTATAGAAAATTCATAAGAAAACATGTCATATCAAGAAAAACTAATCTAAACATGGCTTATTTTATACTTTTCCTTAAACATTTTCTACTCTAAGAGGCATAGTTCTGGCCTAGATGCATGCAGTCTGGTTGTTCATATGTTCTTAAAAAATGTTAAACCCTCAACCATACATAAAAAGTGGCTGTTGTCACCAAAAGTTATGATCTTAATCACTGATACTTCTCAAAGTATTGCTCTCATAATTTACTAAGGTGAAGCTACCATAGTTTATACCTATTATGCTTATTGCTGGGACAATGGGCTCATGTCATGACCAAAGCAATGAACTTCCCAGAAAGCTATTGCCTCCATTTCAATGAAATGCATGAAAAGAATTTATTTCCTTCTGTGGGAGACATATACCTCTGCCTTGAATAGCATTTTTACTTACTAATTCTTTTTACAGTACCTTTACCTGGACCCAGAGGCTTAACAATTCAGGATGTTACTCACAGCAGCATGAATATCCTTTGGGATCCTGCCCCAGGGAAAGTTCAAAAATACGTCCTAAGATACAAAATAGCTGATGAAGCTGATGTGAAGGAGGTAAATGGCAGGAACATTTTTGGAAGTACTAGAAGACAGTTATATTTTGAGGAGCTAGGTTACTAAGATAATGGCAAAAGTAGTATTATAAGCTACATCGAGAATAAAGAATATCTGTTCATGATGATTGCAGTCAGGTAAAGGGTAAACTGGATACTGAATAAGCACAAGAGAGATTTCAATGGGTACTCCCCTCTTTTTCCTCCTCGATGAGGACAAGTTCTCAAGCTGGAGAATTTTTCTGTACTTTGATAAATTTCCCTAAGTGTTATCTTGCCAAGCTCTAAGAACAGCTTACAACTGGGAAGACAGTATTATGGAATAAAGGTATATTAGCCCTTTCACCCACTGTCTGAATATGTGTGAGCACTGTTAGAGATGTCTTTGAGTATCTGCAAGCTTTCCATAGTTGCACTGCTAGCTCTTGTTGGACTAAATGTGCTTTTGTAAGGGAATGGGAATTTTCTAGAGATGCAGTTTGCATCCTCATTTCCAAAAGAATGAAGCAGTGAAAGATCCACAAGTAGTACTAGTATTTGAGACAATATGCTTTGCAAGGGAGTTAGTAGGTAGCACTCAATATTCACGTGTAAATTTAGGGGTTAACGCCAAAATTTAGTGCTGAATACTTTTCTGTTTTTCAGTACAGGAATTTCTGACAAATGCAGAGTAAGAAATAGAGCAATTTACAATTCTTAAGTCACTGTTTTTATTCTTAGGTGGAAATTGACAGACTGAAAACCAGCACTACTCTCTCTGACCTTTCCTCCCAAACACTGTATAATATAAAAGTTGTTGCTGTGTATAATGAAGGGGAATCCCTACCAATAAATGCAGAAGCTGTCACTCGTAAGTTTTCCTATTAATTCTTCTTGTGGTTATTTTTGCCTTACGTTCTATTTAAGTTATGTGTGTTGCAATATATTGCTGAGTTTAGGTGGAACCGTAATCTGTCTGACAAATAGTTTACCTGCATTTGTAGCATTATTTACAATATAACAATCTCAGGGAATCTTAGATGAGTTCAGGATCTTACTGCAGAAAACACTGAGCCTGCAGTCTGCAGAGAGGGGACAGATCAGCAACTGAAGCAAAATTACTTCTGTTCAGAGGCTGAAGGAGGAGTGTAGGGATAGAATTAGTAAGAAAATATGAGGGCAGAGAAAAGGTTTGGCAAGTCTATGCAGGAATCTACAAAAGTGAGTAGGAAGATGGAGCATATGGTAGAGGATTAGACAGAAATGATCTTGCTTCTGATCTAAAGGATTTTTTGTACCATGGAATGCTAAACCAGTCTGTACTTTTAGACAGAGTCTGTACTTTTAAAGACATCATTCGAGTAATCTCAACAAATAGGGGCAAGAAAATGGTGTTGCACAAATGTTAAGAGCCAATCTCCCTGCAACGTAGGTGACAGACTGAAGGGAGAAAGCTGTTATCAGGAAAGCCCTCATCCTGATCTAGGAGTATAATTTAAAAAGACAGCTAACTAGAAGAGCTAGAATAGAAATGACCAATGTTACCTTTTCACTGCCTCTCACTCTGATATGGAAAAAGGGAGAATAAAACATGCAGATGCTCTCTCTCTCCCTTTCCTCCCCCAGTTTTTAATTTTGTAGCTTGGTGTTAAAAATGTGCCTTTGTGCTAGCCTTTCTTCTATAGCTGTGGGTTTGTGTGACTGTGTGTGTAAGAAAAAAGAAGTTTTTTTTGTTTAAGTCTCTGGTTTTACCTATTTACTCATTTCTTCCTATTGACTGTAAAATTTAGCTTCCTTAACTTATGTTTAACCCCTATGAATTCTTTTTAAATAAGAGACATAATTCAGTCGTGACTTAGTTGGCTTATATAAAGAATTTTAAGATCTGGAAAAAACTCATGCGGGAGCTTGACCTGTGTGTGTGTGAGTTTATAATAACTCCTTATGACTCCAAAATGTAAGAGCTAGGACTGCAGTTGTGAGTAGGCATGAGACTTTTGTCCTCTACTGAGGCCAGTAGAGCTACATCAGTTTTATCAGGTGATGACCTAGTTATGTGAACGTATGAAGAACAATTTGCTTATTGTAGATGGGTTGAGTTATACTACAGGGTTTTGTTGTGATCATTAGAAATATGGTAACTGAGAGATAAAACTTCTGCATAATCTAAATTCTTTGTCTGAGTATTTCTGTTGTTCAACTGTGGTTATTTTGTAGTTACATTTTCTGAAATACTTTTCCTTTTCTCGTAATAGAGCCTGTGCCAGCACCCGCCAATCTCAGAATCACAGATATAACCACAAATAGTTTCAGAGGAACTTGGGATCATGGAGCTCCAGATGTCTCTCTATATAGAATAACCTGGGGACCCTATGGAAGATCAGAAAAACATGAGGTAACTAAAATTAGCCATTGTAAGATTTTGTGGGCAGTCTCTCAGAGGGTATGTTTTTAAAATCAGAATGTATTTAATAAATAGCCTATAACTTGCAAGCCCTCCTGTTGACCTCAATGGAAGTTGAGTAAGAAAGTGTAGAACACTTGTAGTGATTTTACTGTGTAAAAAATGACTCAGTTATATCCCACTCTCTGTGTGTTTCAGTTTGTTTGGGGGGGTGGTGTGTTATTTGTTTCTTTAACTTTTTTTTTTTTTTTTTTTAATATTTCTCCACAAGACTATCTTAAATGGGGATGACAACAGTTTGGTCTTTGAAAATCTCAATCCAGATACATTATATGATATCTCAGTTACTGCCATTTATCCTGATGAATCAGAAAGTGATGACCTCATTGGCAGTGAACGAACATGTAAGTAAATGAAGTGTTTCTGCATGTTGTTATTCATAGTTATTAATTGGAAGGCATACACATACAAGAATTCTGAAAACTTTCTCCTTTTTTTCTAGTACCTTTGATACCTATCACCACACAAGGTAAGAATCTGAATTTCCAGGTATGGTATTATTACCTCTCTCTAAACTGTAATGGATATTGACATTGAAAAGCTGAGATCATTTAATAAATGTTGTTGTGGTTTTGGAAGAATACTAAACACTAGGTTACCACGTTTATTACTTTATAAACACTACAGTTTATGTTGTCTTGTACTTAATACATTTTGCTCTTGCTGAGGCATTCATGCAGTCTTAAAAGTATGAATGAAGTGTTTGTCCCTGCTTTTTGCTTGAATTACATATTTATTCTTTTCCTTATTGTGCTTCTCAGCCCCAAAGAGTGGCCCACGAAACCTTCAGGTGTACAATGCAACGTCACACAGTTTGACTGTGAAGTGGGATCCTGCTAGTGGCCGAGTGCAGAGATACAGGATCCTTTACCAACCTATCAGTGGGGATGGCCCTGAACAGTCGGTAACTAATTTTGAAATGCTACAGTTACTCAACCTCAAACGATAGTTCTGCAAAGTAATCTGTTAGAATAATTTATTTTCAAAGTACAACAGTGTAGATATTAATCACCTTTTAGATGAAGATTGAAATTTATAGTGGATACGTATATATTCCAACTGTTTTCTTTCTCCATTTTAAATCCAAGATAGAATGCTTTTTATGGAGGAATAATAACTTTGGATACAGCCTGTTTTCTTGAAAATCATATTATCTATAGATATAACTAGAATAAAGTGTTGAGGAACAAGTTAATCAGCACATAAGGCTAGAAGTCACAGATATATAGTAATCACAAGAATCAGTAATATGAACTGCCATGACTACTTCCATAGTCCAGAGTCTCCTGCTGTTTTCATAGTGTGGTTCATGTGCTACCAGAGGGATTTTGTCATGGAACGTACTGTGGACCACACTAGGGATAGAATAACCACCCAGAAGCAGCAGCTGCAAAAATGAATCTATGCAAAACATGTGTTAGGGAAGTGTTTGAGGTGTTTTAGGGTCTTTTGATTGAGCAACTGTGAGATAGGGATAGCCAGTACTTTATGATCAGACAGTTTTCCTAGCGTTGTCAGCAAGAGCTATGTTGACTACTGGCGGCCTACGGAACACAGCCTGAGAATAGTAATTCAGTCAGCCTGTTTATCAGAAATGTGTGCTACTTAAAAATGCCCTATTCTGCAGTGGAAGGCTGTTATGATTACTGCCAAATGACTCAGAGGAACAGTCTCAGATGAGAACCACACTCATTTAGCTTGTTCCTGTAATTGGAGATCACACATGTTCAGAAGCATATTTAGGAATGTTTACTTTAGAATCAGTTTCACATCCATTTTTACTCTCTTCTGAACAACATGCATTTCAGTTGAGGTAGTTGAATTGTTGAAAGAACTGAATAGTTAAATGCAAGTTTAATGAGAAATCACTAGAAGAATAAGGAACAGTAGTAAGGTTAACTAGTATGTGTAATGAATTACTGGTACTGGAGAAAAAAAGAATTATGAACACTCTGTTGAAATTTGTGCAGAGAGTAGAATTAATAGACTTTATTCAGAACTGGATAAAGTCCAGAAGTGGAAGTCAGAGAAGACACCTCTTTTTAAGGAGAACACACAGAACACTCATGCTCAGTTCATGACATTTTAATGTCTGTCGGCAAATAATTCTCAGTCATATGAGTGTAATTCATTGTCTGCTTTTTTCGTTACTGTGATACTTGATTAAACTGCAGTTGCTAGGTAGGCAATAGCAATGTCCCCACTGAAATATTTAAGATAGATTTTCTAAAAGTTTTTTATTGGCACAGAACTAGCAGTTGAGATATAGTCTGGTTATATGTAAGTTTGGAGGTCTTAAAGAATACTGTCTTTGTGTCACTGGACTGTCTGAACTTGCTAAGGTGAATATGTACTAAATATTATTATTGCTCAATGTCTGCTCTCAGTGTCAGTCACAAGAGCATGCAGCATATGATATAGTGTTTCCCACTTTGCATCAAATGCTTACATTCTTCACAATAACAGTAAGTGTAAAAGGGGAAGAATAAAGCAATGATAATTCTTTTGTTTTACTGCAGACTATGGTTGGAGGGCGGCAGAACAGTGTGGTGATACAGAAGCTGCAGCCTGACACACCATATGCTATTACTGTGTCATCAATGTATGCAGATGGGGAAGGGGGACGAATGACAGGACGAGGCAGAACCAGTAAGTAACTTCATGGGATCTTCTTATTAGGTATGAAACAATATTGTTTTATTACATTTCAAATTGGCTGGCAAAAAATATTGTGGCAAAATTCATCCCATCTGTAGCTGTCATCTGTCCTTTGGTGTGTTTCAAATATCTCAAGTAAGAAGGCCTGTCAGTCTACTGGCTTTAGAGAAACCGTGGACAACCACCTTAGACTGAGCACCAAGCTTTTAGGGCTGAGAGAAACCCTACTGCTACTGTGGAACTTATTCCTCATCTTAATCTGTTTAATTGTCTTATGCTACAATTTGGTAAACATCTTTAAAGCATTTGAAGGCAGGTAATTCTCATATGTGTATTGCTAAGTATAAACTTATTAATTTCCTGTCAGCACCTTCAGTTCAGAAGCTTTACAGTATGCACTTTGAGACTCTACAATTTTACACTGATAGCATTGTTCTGATCATGCTGTAGAAAGCACTGAGTGATTTGCTACCAGAGGCACTTCAGGCATAAAGCCAATTCACTATTTTTAATTAGTTAATTGATTATTTAACTATAAATTTCTTAGTTCATTTGTACTTAGCTTACTTTTGAGCCTGCAATGCAAAGTCAGATATAGGAATGTGTTTGGTGAGGAAGGAACCAAGCATTCCTAATGAATTTGTTGTATAAATATAAAATAGTGTTCAGAAAGAAGTTTTTCTTACTACATTTAGCATTCCTTATGCTGTTGGATGGGGCTGGTGTGTTCTGATTAATGAAGACAAATATTTAATATGAGCAATTAATACTGTTGTTTTTTAAATTTCCTGATGATACATTACATAGCTGTGTTTTGACAGCACAGGTGAATGTGGTTGACGTTTCTGACAATTCGCTAATCTATTTCAGAACCTCTCACTACTGTGAAGAACTTGGTAATTTATGATCCAACCACTAGTACTCTGAACATTCGATGGGATCATGCAGAAGGAAGTCCTCGTCAGTATAAGGTGTTTTATGGACCTACAGCTGGAGGTGCAGAAGAAATGGTAAAGGCTTTATGTGGATCTCACTAACTGTCTCAGATAAATTGCAGCTCATGGTGCTAGTGGAGAAATGCTGCCGGGTGAAGTGGGACTTGTTGAGTATGCACTGGCTTTTTTTCTGTTCATAGCTACCTCAGAATAAATGCAGAGCACCTTCATGAAAGTCAGTTACTCCATATGTATTACAGATGTTTGATTTTATAGTAGACCTTCACTGATTAGTTCTTAGCACAACGATTTAATACCACACAAATTTTTTTGTTTGTTTATTCTTAGGGCAGTGCATGTGAATGTAAAGCTGACTTCAGGGTGTACAAAAGGCTATAAAGTTAGCAGACCTCATCTCTACCCATTTTTATTGCTAGGATGTCATGTGACTGTAGGCAGTCAGCTGGGATGATACATGTGAAAGCAGAAAAATCTGCATGAGTATTTTATTCTAATCTCCTAAAATTATACAATTGCTAAAGAGCTAAAGCAATTTTGAACATGTGAAACCTTGCTGCAGACTGTGAAAATATTATTCTTTCCTATTTGTATTTGTTTTGCGTATCTGTGCAATTGGATGTGCCTGTGAAATGAGGAGTACATGAATTGCCACTCCTGATAACATCTAGAGAGCTACCAATGATAAATATTCTTAAATGCTGTGGAGTTTTACTTTGTAACGTGAGCTGCTCATTACCTCTTGTCATTAGTTTTAGTGTTTGTGTAATGTTTATTTTTTTTTTTTAATTTAGAAAGTGACCTTTTAATGCCTCTGAGCTGCTAAATAGTAGTCATTAAAGAGATTCTGTTATTAATATAACAGGATCAGGACCCAAAAATGAAGATAGCTCTTCAGGGATTGTGTGGGAGAGCATAGGACTTAACAATCATTTTTGTTATGTCCAAGACAGAACTTTATTGAAAGGTAATTCCAGAAGATACCATGAACCATATCACTTCAAGCTTCAGTGTTTGTAAATTTTTGTCATGTCCAGTCTAGAAATGAGATGTGGTAGAGGAGTAAGTGAGATACAAAAAACTTAAACTTTTTGTATATTTATGTAATGTCATAACTCTACCTTTATCTTTAAATTTGTAGACCACAGTACCAGGAAACACAAACTATGTCATTCTGAGGACTCTTGAACCCAACACACCTTACACTGTAACTGTGGTTCCAGTTTTTCCAGAAGGGGACGGTGGACGTGTCTCTGATACTGGAAGAACTTGTAAGTAAAATCATCGTTTTGAAGAAAATGTAAGGAGTTTTTGTGTGAGTGGCTCAGATAATTAGAAATTGATTTTGCATCAGGTTTTTTTCCTCAAAGCTTAAACATAAATGCAAGAAACTGTTTACCTGCTTGGGTATGGTTGCAGCTCTGTAACTTACTTCACTTTCTGTGCTTATTTGAGTAGACGCTTTCAGTCCATTTATGTCAAGCAAGCTCAACTCTTGTGTTGTGCAGCAAACTTACAGTTTTAGTAAAATAGTAAAATTTTAATTATAGTGCCAGTAGCAATACTGGTGAACAAATGGAAAATATTGGTGTTAATCCATGGTAATGTTCATATGATGCACTTAAAATATTCCAGGGAGCTTCCACTCCTGAAGTCAGCATGGCATAAAATGTGTAGTTTATGGCTACTTTTCATAGCTTTCTGATCAACAATGTGGTTACAAAGTGTTATGATCATACCTTTAATTTACAGTATAAACATATGTACTTTGCTACCTGGCAGGAGTGTTTGTAAAAGCTAATCACCAAGACTCTTGGATGTGGAGAAACAAAAGTAATATGTTTATCTTGGGCTGATGCCCTTTTTCTGCTTCCTTTGAGCACTGTTGTAAATTCAAGTAGAACTAGAACTTAAGTAAGCAAGTTTATAAAACTTAATCTAAATTATCCTTGATCTAGTGGAGAGAGGAACACCAAGAAACATTCAAGTTTACAATCCCACACCAAACAGCATGAATGTCCGATGGGAACCTGCTCCAGGTCCAGTACAGCAATATAGAATTAATTACGCTCCACTGTCTGGCCCAAGGCCATCAGAATCTGTGAGTAATTTTGTTCTTTATATTATTCCTTAAAAGTGTGTGCAGGATGTTGCTTCCTCAGATGAGTGTAGAACAATAATTATAAGCTCAGGCCAACTGTCTGCCCAGGAGTGTCCCTGCTGAAAACACTTTGTCTACAGGAATTTAGTCCACTGTAACTAAATGTTTAATTTGGTGAAATAAATAAGAAATAACACTACCAGGTAAAGATGAGTTAAAATAATTTATTTATTTATATATTTATTTATTTTTACCTTAAGAAGAGAGAAGAAAACAACAAATATTTATTAGGAAATATTTAATTGTGACTCCAGATGCCAATGTTATGTAATTTTACCACTAAATCATCTGTTTAGCCCAAATCATTAGTGTTTAAGTAGGTCTTGGTGAGCAGCGGATATAGGTAAAAATTTGGCCTCCAGCTGTGAAGTAAGAGATTTTGGGTTTGTGTAGAAATAGGTGCAGTTTTAGAGCTAAGCTTATGAATGTACTCACAAAAAATATACACCCATACTGTACATGTACAGATGGGTGTATATGTGTTTATGTAAGGAAGTCTAAGAATTTTTAATGAATCATTTGCATTTGTAAAGTGAAACTGCATATTACTTCACACATAAGTGGGAACCTGTCTATTAGTATCCGTTCGAAAATGTCCTTTGTATGTCAGTAAACCATGATAGAATTTACTTTTTTGTTTTCTGTTCCTGCATGTTTTGTTTTTTTTTTTCTGAACCATTTTCACGTAAAATGTAGAAGATAGATAGCAACTCCATTTGCAGAATGAGAGCTCCTTAGGGATTCATCTTTTTTTTATTTTTGCATCCACTCTTGAACTTTTATCAATATTATTTGGTTATTTTAAACCTGTATTATTTTTCTTGGAAAACGTGCAGCATGGTCATGTTCTCAATTTGCCTATATTTCATTCAAATTGTTAATTCTAACATGACATTGTATAAACCAAAGCCTTTTTTATAAAGGTGCTTTTTGTTTCTGTTTTAGATTGTGGTACCAGGTAACACTCGTGATGTGATGCTGGAGCGCTTGACTCCTGACACTGCTTACTCAATAAACGTTGTAGCTCTGTATGCAGATGGAGAAGGAAATCCAAGCCAAGCACAGGGGAGAACATGTAAGAGTCAGTCAGTAGTTGCTTTGTGAAATATATGTCAAAATTGATGTGTGAAGAATTTATAAATTGGTTACAATCATATATAGTGTAAGCTGATCAGTGCAACTCTGAGATCAATACATTTGAGTTATGGCTGAAGCAATTAAAGGCCTTCAGGAAGGGAGCTTTTGCTATGTTGTCTGGCAGCTATGGTACCTGCATAATCAGTGTAATTTTCACTTGTGAAGTAAGGTTAATTTGAATGTTTAAGAGTGTAAAATCTGTTACTTAAAATGTGATTATAGGCAAACAGCAGTTTGTCTTTTGAAAAAAAAAAAAGGCACATTAAGATGGATAGAATTTGCTGTCAACAGAAAAAAATGTGCTTCATGTTCTGTGTCTTACATGATAATTGTCTATGTCAGTCTCCCCAGATGTTTGTTTTTTGCTGGAAATGCCTAAACACCAAAACTTCCTTGTTACAATTTAGCTTGTGGGATCTTGATTAGCTTACTCTTGACATCTTTAAAATTCATTCTAGAAATGACATGTAAATGAGCTGTCTATGGCAATAATAGGTCACCTCTCTTTTGCTACTTGTGTTTTTTCTGTTAAATCCCCATATTCATCTAAAATTTGTGACAGGCTGCAGTTATACCTGTTTGCAAGAGTCTGAGAAGCAGAATGTATGTAGATGCTTACTTTATACATCCCTCGGATATTGTCTCCCTTCTGTACTGCTCCAGTTCTTCCAATTAAGGTCCTATTTCTGTTCAAAAACTTCGGGCACTGCTATAGTATCATTGACTAAATTTACCTGTATGTTTTTATTTGGGGTTTCAGGGAGGGCTGTTAGCTTTGGTTTCAAGGCAGCATTTGAATCATTGAGGGTGACACTGAAGTGGAAGAATCATGCTTCATACAGCCTTCCATATTTTATTTCTTCAGTGCCTCGCAGTGGTCCAAGGAATGTGAGAGTGTTCGATGAGACCACAAATAGCCTTTCTGTTCAATGGGACCATGCTGATGGGCCAGTTCAGCAGTACAGAATCATTTATTCACCCACTGTGGGAGACCCCATCGATGAATATGTAAGTTCTGTAATTCCTTAGGGAGCACCAAGAGGTTCTCTGTTGATTCTTTAGGCTACAGAAAAACAGTGATACCTGTTCTACATGGTGTACACTTTATGTGCTCTATAGGTTATTTGTTCACTGTTATCAATGCTGAGAAGCCATTTGTATGAAACAATGGTTGGTTTGTTCGTTGATTTTTTTGGGTTTTTGTTTATTTGTTTTCCACAAAATTGCAGAACGTATATGGCTTAATGAACCCACTTGTGTGTAAAATAATGTTAAATGTGAGTCACACATTAATCAGAATATTCTGAGCAGAACTTGCTTTCTGACATTTAGTTCAAACATTGTGCTACAGTGAATAGCCATCTATTCATACTCTATTAATTATGAAGTCAGTGTGCTAAGATACAGAATAAACACAAGCCTGCATTTTATAAATTGAAGAAAGTAGGTGGAGCTTAATAAGAAAGCAATGGTAATGTTGATTCAGCATCTAACTTGCTTTTGTAAGGTTCAGTATGAATTGTGTGTTTAATTTCCTGTAGCTTAATGATAGCATAAGTTAATCTGAAGTTTATAAATTCTCTGAGTGTTTATAGCAAAGCCAAACTCAGAACCTATAGAGGTCAATAGCA